ATATATATATACAAGTGGCTGAACTTATTGAATCAGTAATCAATTTAAATATCATACTTTGAACCCAAAATTAGTAATTTCTAGATGTGCCCCTATCCTTAAACAATAAACGACAGTTTCCCATACCGTCAAAAAGTTCGTCGACGGCCTTTTCTCCCTGAAACTTGCTTGCCACTTCATCAATGAGATTATGCACGTCCTTGTCGTTCACTAAGGAAAAGAAACAAAGAGAGAAAAAAATCACACAATTGTTTAAAAACTTCAAAACAAATACATGAATGATTGGTCTCCGAAACAGAAAGAGACTAATACATTGTTGGTAGTTGGCGGGTTCTCTGGAGTGGTTTGCTTCTTCTGTCCTATCAAACATATATCATCCTTATCTCCCGTCCTTCTTTTTATGTTCGTTACTCTCTTGTAACACCTCTAATCTTCTGGCGCTCGTATGACCTTATGCAGTTACGAGAGCCGTAAAACCTCTACAAAAAACAGACTAATAGATGAATGTTTTCCTCCTAAACAGACGCACGCAAATAGATGAATGTCTGTCTCCAAAACGGACAGATACAAAACGACGAATGTATGTCTGTAATACATATCAAAACAAATAAATGAATATTAGCCGGCTTAAAAACTAAAATAGTTCAACCAATATGAAAAGTGCAACGACCGACCGCCCAAGTTATTTATAAAACCTTCAAGACAAAATAATGACGATACGTCCAGCTTTATATTACATATTTAATATTGGATAATGTTGTGAAGCGTTCATAAACCTATAAAATTCAAAAACCTGTGTTAAAATTCAATAACTTCTTGGTGTCTACATTTAAGCATGCTCAAAAACTAGAAATTTATAACAGTTACGAAAAATGTAACGACCGACTGCCGAAGTTAACACAATAAAAAAAAGAGGACAAAGTTATAAAGATATTTTAAGCTTCTCATCACACAAATAAGTGTGGATAGTGTTTGAATGAACACACACTCCTTTAAAATGCTAGGGCTTATGTTAAAACTCAATGACGTGTTGGTTCGTACATTCAAACAGGCTCAAAAACTAAAATATTTTAATCAGTATGAAAAGTGTAACGACTGACCGCTCAAGTTACTTAGAAAAGCTTCAGGCTAAAGTAATAACGATACTTCCAAATTTTTATTATACACTTAAGATTGAACAAAGTTTTGAAGTGTTCTTAAACCTTTAAAGTGCAAAAACCTGTGATAAAATTCAATAACTTCTGGGTGTCTACATTTAAGCACGCACAAAAACTAAACATTTATCACAGTGACGAAAAGTGTAGCGACCGACCGCCCTAGTTACTTAAATCTGAAGGACGACAAAGAAATAACGACAATTCCTGCTTTATATAACACATTTAGCCGTGCTGAGCAGATAGAACTTTGTAATTCCAGAGCAGCGTTTCTGTGTCTTAGCTTTTATACAAATTATTTAAGTGGTTACTTCCCTTCACCAGTAACATTTCACTACAGCAGCTCGTGCAGACGATAAAGTGAAATAGTGCTAATTGGCTCGAAATAAGAGGTTATTTCAAACGGGAAAAAGTTCTAATAGATTTTGTTACTTCATTATTTTGATTTGGAAAAAGAAATAATAAAATAACTTACCATTTTTCCCGTTTTTCTTCAGGATTCCGCTAGCTGTAGTGGCAATTTTTCCTGCTTCTTCTTGCAGCTCGTCCGACTGAATGCCTGTGTCAGAATAAAGAGAGGGGCGGGGAATACATTAACATTTATGTGGGCGTGCATGTTGGTTGGTATGTGTGTGTGTGTGTGTGTGTGTGTGTGTGTGTGTGTGTGTGTGTGTGTGTGTGTGTGTGATTTATCGATTGTTTGTGTGTTTATTTCGCGTGTGTATGTGGATGCCTGTATGTGTACGCCTGTATGTGTACTTGTGATTTGTGAGTATGTGTGTGTGTGGATGTGTGTGTGTGTGTGTGTGTGTGTGTGTGTGTGTGTGTGTTTATGTATGCAAGTGTGTTTGTCTGTAAGTGTAAGTGTTTGTGTGTGTGCGTCTGTGTGTGTGTGTTTATGTGTGCAAGTGTGCTTGTCTGTAAGTGTTTTTGTGTGTAAGTGTAAATGTGTGTGTGTGTGTGTGTGTGTGTGTGTGTATGTGTGTGTGTGTGTTTGTGTGTAAGTGTAAGTGTGAGTGTTTGAGTGTGTTTATGTGTGCAAGGGAGGCGAGAGTCGTCCATGCGGTGAACGTGGCCGGCCCACCGAGCTGAGAGCTCAGTAGGATAAAAGAAGACCATCATATTATCTACAGTATGTAAGAGTGTGGAAGAAGGAGGCAAGGGCCTGGTATCTGTGCCCTGCCATCCACCTCCTTCCTGCCCCACCGTCCCCAATTAATCTTTGTCGACGAACCCCCCCCCCCAACCCGGTCAATCCTCACCCCACACTAACTTGTTAAATTTTTCTATTCCCCAGCCACCCTGACAGAACCCCGTGGTCCCTCCAGCCCATTCTGGCAACTTCTCTTGTCCCTTTCTCCTTCTTCGTATCCGTCGTTGGATTGGGCAAAAGTAAGTGTTTGTTACTTGTATTTGCCTTGTATGTATGTATGTAGTAGTAGTAGTAGTATTAGTAGTAGTAGTAGTAGTAGTAGTAGTAGTAGTAGTAGTAGTAGTAGTAGTACATTGCGTTTTTTAAATCTTGTTGTCAACATCATAATTTATACAATACTAGTACTTTTAAGAATTATCATCATGGTCTGGGAAATTAAGATGTACAGATAATTCCTAAATCTTCACCCACCCATCCATCCATCCATCCATCTATCCATCCATCCATCCATCCATCCATCCATCCATCCATCCATCCATCTATCTATCTATCTATCTATCTATCTATATATCTATCTATCCATCCCTCACAGAGGTGAGCTGCCGCCGGTTGTTCTGTGCCCTCATAGTGTTGGCCAGTGTGTTCATCTGTGCGGAGCCACGCATCTGGTCTCTGGAGGGCAGCGACGAGGAGGAGCTGTTCCGCTCCAACGACCTCTTCAAGCAGGTCCTCTGGCCGTCCGTCTACGCCCTCAGTTTCCTCCCCTTGGCAATCTACCACGCGCTGGCAGAACACGAGCTCAGGAAGAACTCGGTAAGGGAGAAAAATGTTGTGCCTGACCCAAGGAGCTTAAAACTAAACTACTGTAAACTCCTTGGCCTGACCGCTACACCACAGACGTGGATGGCAAGAAGAAAAAAAGAAATTTTAACTCTCTCAGCTGCAAAAGTTACATAGAATTGGAGAAAATCAAGATATTATATGTTGTTGAATAGGGCTTTTGTACAACCTTTTTCATCTTACTTGTTTTGAGCTATAGGGTTTTATTCAGGCTGTTTTGTGATAGGCGAAGGACTGTGCTTTTGAGTTCATTTCCGCCCGGAAGAAAATAACTTTACTCGGGTTTTTGAAATCGAAAACTTAAAAAGAATTCCAGTTTAATAAGCAAGAACGGGTTTTTAACCCGTACATTGACAGGCCCGAGAATTGAGGGATTAAGCAAGGGTTCCAGTAAAGGTACATTCCTGCGTTTCATGAATCTTAGTTTGATGAAAAAAAATCTAAAAATCATGTTATGTCGTACCTGGAGGTGTTTCAGCTTTTCATTTCCGGTAAAATTATTACTTGCTTACATTCCACTTGTGAAATAAAAGCGGATATCTCAAGTGTGAAATAGAAGCTGTAATACACATTTTGTATAAATTACTCTACGCACTACATTCGCCTTCTAACTTTTTGGGAGAAAATATGGACTTGAAATGGTCGCTTTTAAGGACAAGCGGGCTGACCCAGATTGCGGGGGTTTCCAGAAATCTTGACCTACACCAAAAGTGGACATTGCCCTACCTATAGGAGAAGTTTGGTTTCATAAGTATGTATATTTGTTTGGTTATAGAGAAAACTCTCCTTGTCTTTGACAGAAACTGAACAAGCCGATCCCATCAGTAGTAGGCACCCCGTATTATAAAACTCGTAGTAAAACTATTGTTATTTTTCTTACACAACTTATACTTTTTTATTCCTTCATCTTTCATTCACTAATATGCTTTTGGTTTGTTTTTTTTGTTTTTCCAGGTCCACTCTTTCTCTCTCTCCACGTCCGGCCTACTGATGGGGTCTGTGTTCACAGTGCTCATGGCCTCTGCTGACTTCATTCCTTTCTACGGACGGGTCAGTTGTGGTGTTGTTGTTTTCGTTATTGTTGGTATTGTTGTTGTTGGTGGTGGTGGAGGTGGTGGTGGTAGTGGTGGCGGTGGTGATGGTGGTGCTGTTGTTGTTGTTGTTGTTGTTGTTGCTGTTGCTGTTGTTGTTGCTACTGTTGTTTTTGGTGGTAGTGTTCTGGTGTTGCTTTAAATGTTGATATTGTCGTTATTGTTGTATATTATTCTGTTTTTGTTTTTGTTTGGTTGTTGTTTTTGTTGGTGGTGGTTGTGACGTTGTCGTTATTGTTGTTCTGTTGTTGTTGTTGTTGTTGTTTTTGTTCTTGTTGTTTTTCTTGTTGTACTTGTTGAGATTCCTTGAGTGTTCGGTGCAGACTTAGCCCTGTCGATGCAGTTCTTGTCTAAGCTTCACATGGTCCTAGTTTGAATCCCCAGTGAGGAGAGCGACTATGAACATACTAGGTGGGTGGTTGGCGGGTGCTCTGGTGTGGTTTGCTTCTTCTTTCCTATCAAATATCTATCGTCCTTTTCTCCCCTTCTTTTTTTAAAGCTTGTTACTCTCTTGTAACACCTCTAATCTTCTGGCGCTTATATGAGCTTATGCAGTTGCGAGCGCCGTAAAACCTGTACTAAAACTAAAGAACATAATACAGATAGGATCAATAAGTGTCTATGCTCGAACAGGAACACTATTTGAGGAGCAGACGTTTATTATAATCTGTCCTATTGTACTTGTCGTTGCTGCTGTTGCTAATGTTGTTTTTGGTTGATTGTGCTGCTCCTGCTATTGTTGTAGATGGTTTTGTTGCTTCTGATGCTGTTGTTAATGAGGATGTTTTTCTTGCTTTTTGCTGCTGTTATTGTTGTTGTTGATGGTGTTTTTGTTTCTGTTGCTGCTGCTGCTGCTGCTGCTGCTGCTATTGTTGTTGTTCTCGATTGTTTTTGCTGCTTATCAGATTTCTGTCTTGCATTAAAAAAATTAAAAAATAACAAAGAGAAAACAAAAAGAAAGAAAAGAAAAAGAAACAGTATTTGGGAAACAGTTTTAGTTCACCTTTAACTATTTGTTTGTTCCCAGGTTGACACCTTTCCTGAGATGTGGGAGGTCATAAAAGACGGCGAAAAGTGCAACTTTGGGTAATTGTTGTTGTTGTTGTTGTTGTTGTTGTTGTTGTTGTTGTTGCTGTTGTTAGTGTTGTTGTTGTTGTGGTGGTGGTGGTGGTTAGTTGTTTTTGTTGTTGTTGTTGTTTTTGTTGTTGTCGTCGTCTTGGTGGTAGTGGCTATTTGTTGTTGTTGTTGATGTTGTTGTTGATGTTGTTGTTGATGTTATTGTTATTCTTGTTGTTGTTGTG